GCTGTCAATCAACACCCCCAGGTCCCTCTCTGACTGGCAGCTCTCCAGCCACTCCTCCCCAAGCCTGTAGCGCTGCTGGGGGTTGTTGTGGCCCAAGGGCAGCCCCCGGCATTTGGCCTTATTGAAACTCCTCCAGTTGGCCTCAGCCCATGGCTCCAGCCTGTCCAGGTCTCTGCAGAGCCTCCCTACCCTCGAGCAGATCAACACTCCCACCCAACTGGTGTCATCTGCAAACTGACTGAGGGTGCACTCGATCCCCTCGTCTAGATCATCAATAAAGATGTTAAACAGGAGTGGCCCCAACACCGAGTCCTGGGGGACACCACTTGTGACTGGCTGCCAACTGGATTTAACTCCGTTCACCACAACTCTCTGGGCCCGGCCATCCAGACAGTTTTTTACCCAGCAAATCGTGTGCCCGTCCAAGCCGCAAGCAGCCAGTTTCACCAGGAGAATGCTGTGGGAAACGGTGTCAAAGGCCTTGCTAAAGTCAAGGTAAACAACATCCACAGCCTTTCCCTCGTCCAATATACAGGTCGCCCTGTTGTAGAAGGAGATCAGGTTTGTCAGGCATGACCTGCCTTTCATAAACCCTTGCTGGCTGGGTCTGGTCATCTGTTTGTCCTGCATGTATGTTGCATGATGGTACTCAGGATGAGCTGCTCCATCAGTTCATTTATGCTGAAGTTTAAATTATTATATTGCCTTTTCTCTTACAAGAATAATAGTTTTATTCTCAGATGGATGAGTAAACCCAGAAGAACTGGTGCAAATCTTTTTGCTGTTACTGTATGGTGCAAATGTTTGTACAACTGTGTAGTAGCAGGCTGAAGAAGTCTGAATCTTAGTAGTCTTGGAACTATGCCTGTATTTTGAGGCAGGGAATTAACTTATAAGTACTTCATATCCTTTTCACTTACAATCTTTGTTAATTAAAGGTTCCTTTATGTAATTTAGGATTTTATTTTTAACAGTTCTTTTTGTATTTTTTCCTTCAGCAGTAGGTATGAGCCAAACAGCAGTTCAATTTTCCCAGTCTTGCATTTACATCTGTACTGTCAAAAACACTTAAGTCAGGGGAGGAACCAAACAGAACAAACCCTATTTACTTTTTTCCAAATAGTCTCATAACATCTGAAGACAGAATATTTTATTGTCTTGCAGTGAATTAAAATTTCTTAAGATCTGTAGATCTTGAATGAACTTTTAGAATATTTTGTATTCTTTTTCAAAACAAATCCTGTTTTATGCCATTACTTCCCACTAATTCTTTCTAGAAGTCAGAGATATAATATGGTGCATCTAAATGTAAGGAAGCATACCGAACAGTATGAGTCACACTGAATGGAATGATTTTCACATCTAAAGACAGTTCATTTCTGTTCTACACTTAAACATAGATCTTCATTGAATTTGCGCTTGTGTACAACTTAGCTGCACCTTGTATTCTCACTAGGGGAGAATCTACTTGAAGTGTAACCATTGAAGCCTGCCTTATTACAAAGATAAAGAAAAGGATTAGAGAGAGAAAAATGAGTTTTAAAATATTATGCAAGCTTTTGGAGTTTTGCTGTAGATAATTCTGAATTCAAATATGCTGTTAAACTTCCCTACTTCTACCAGTTCTGATTAATTTTTTTTTTTCCCTTTTCAATGACTCTCCCATCTTGCATGTTAATCATTATTTTTGGTGTGGGTTTTTTTTTTTCCTCCAAAACTGCAAATCAGTGACTCTTTTCTCCCGATTCCATGGGGGTTAAATGAGATGTTCAGTAACCTCAAATCTGAAGCTAACAGAAATATAGAATAATCTATATACAAACTGTAAATCAAGTATTCCAGACTGGATTTTTAAAACTAAGTACAATTTGTGATAAATAATTGGCAGTCTATGAAGGCCAGAAAAGACTATTGAGTGGATGTGAAATGGTATCACTTACTGGGGTAGGACATTTTTAACTGATTCAGTTGACTCAGTCCTATTCTGTTCAACCTGAAGTGTACTGTCATCCCAGATGGACAAGCACATGAAGGTGCTTAAGAGCTGAGATAACTAGAAGCATTACCAAGCTGAAAGAAAGGACTTGTTCTGCCACAGGTTTTGGAAGTCTGCAGAATAAGGAGGCCTATTCAGAGTATGAGGGGCTGAAGACTACTGAGCTCCATGGCTGGGTGGTTGTTAACTGGTCCAGTACATGCCAGTCCTCATGAGTCACTGAGGACCCCGTCAATTGCAGCTGTACCAGCCAAATTACCACTTTTTTTCTGGGACAATGAAATGAACTTCAGGTATGAGGTGGAATGAATAGAGAATGTTCAGATCTGGATTTCTGGGAGTAAAGGAATTAATTTCATATGAGAGGTGAGTTATTTTTGCATGGTGTCAGTGTCTCAAAACAATTTTTCCCTCATTGGAGAGTTTAAAATGAAATTAATGATATTTTTCTCTCATTGGAAAGAGTTTAAAAGTTAAATTAATGAAATTATTTACAGTATAGTGCTTGCATATGAGTAGAGGGCAAGCCAGGGTTTTTTTTAAATTAGAAAATTACACTTGGTTTGCTTGCTAGGAATATGATAATTTTCAGGACTATATTGTCTAATTAGAAAGGTTACAAAAACAAAGGAGTTTCTTACCTTTCTGTGAAATAAAATCAGATGTTCTAATGGTCTAGATAGAATAATCTAGAATATTGCAGTTCCTCACATTATGATTTTTTCCATGTCTGATTTACACTGAACTATTTGAAAAATTAGATTAATCTCTTTTTTCTTTTAATCTTAGGTAGCAATAAGGTTAGGTGATGGTAATGCCTTAGGAAGAACCGTTTGAGTCAGGTTGTTTAGTCTCAGTACAAATGGACAGAATTTTTACACATGCTTTTACCACTGTGAGAAAGAGCAGCTGTATAGTTATGAAATTATCAGCTAAAAGCATGGTGCTAAAAGGCCAGCAAGATACTTGGACTCTATGAATGTGAATGATCCTTCTGAAAGTCATCAGAATGTTTTTCTGGGAATCTCTGTATTGTGGAGGAATATATTGAAATAAATGTTTCTAGCATGTACAGATAAATTGCTGTAATCTCACAGTTCTAAGATTTTTAATTTTTTGTATTTCACCATCACACTTTCCCTTATAAAAAAAAATGAGTCCTGTATCTACACATGGCCATAACGATGGCTTCCTTGCATTTGCTTAGTGTAGCAGGAACCCCCTTAGTTGCGGGATGAGGCTGTGAGACAGGACACACACCAATATGGTTAACAGTCAAGCTCCGACGTTTATTAGAAAAACATGTCTTTATATATTCTTGTGACAGCAAATCCGTGTGTTGCTCTGGCGCATGCTCATTTCAAAAACTCATTCCTTCAGCACTTTCAACAAGCACTACTAAGCGTGCACAACCAGTAGATAGATTTCTGCTTTGTTATTCTAAAGATTCCCTTCTTATCTGTTTCTTCCCTAATGAGCAAAAATACTTTCACTTTTAGTTAATCTTGACACCGTTAATCTTCTAACACAAGTGCATCATTAATTTAGACATCATTAATCTTCTAACTTGAATGCTGATGACACTTCTACATTGTCAGTGACACAGACGGTTCGCGACCCAGCATACGCACCCACACCACAGAATGCAGTCTTTGTGTCCATAGAGTCTCTGCCATTTTTAGAAGTACTGGTCCAGCACAGCTCCAGCTTCCCTCACTAATTCAAGTCGTTGGCCCAGTCCAGTGCAGATGAGCTGACCTTTGCTGATCTCCCATCACTTTTCTATCTGCAAGAAATTTCCCAGTTGTGTCTAGAAGCCCTCTGACCTTTATGTTCCTTCTCCAGAGGTCCCTTCCTTTATCTGTTTTGTTTTCTGTATACTGCCTTAGACATGACCATACCATGTGCCTGGATCCTAGAGGGTGCAATGGTGCAAAACCAGAAGCTCTGCTCCACATGAGCCTTTCCCATCAAGGGCCGTAGCTAGGTAGTCTTTTTCCCTATGGAACTGAATTGACCAGGCTCCCAGTTTCTCAAAGTACAGATTTAGATCTTAGATCACATCTGATGCCTTAGACTGCAGATCAACCCAATGTTTCTGAGGAGTAGCTATTAATAGCCTCTGACCCAAAAATAATTTTTAAAAAATGTTAAAAAATTTTTAATCTTCAGTGAAAAGATTGCCAAAAATGAATAAATGTGATATAGTTTGGACATACTATCATGTTTAAACATTTGTGTATCTTGCATAAAAATTGTTAAGTGGATTAGGAACTTCATGGGATAAAACTGTGTTCAAGACAGTTTGCAGCTGTGTGACAAGAGACTGGTGCCATCTGATGTGAAAATCTGAAATTTGAAAAGTGGATCATATTAATTCACTCAGCCTTTCACAAAGTCTGTAAACCTATGCAAGATGTATACTGTTACTATAGTATGGGATCAAATGCACTGATGCTAATCAGATGTACTCAGACAAGAAATAGTAGATGTAGCAGCAGAAATAGTGGAAATATGGTTGTAATTTACATGTTCTTGGAAATATTCAGGAAACTGCCCACCTTTTAACAGTCATCTTTATTTCAGTGTCTTAAGTAAAGCCATGATCTGCAAAGAAAATCAAGATAGGAAGGAAAGATAGGTATTCAAGTGAGCTTATAGTGTCTACTTGGATCTTTACAATATTATAGTACCACGTTGAACCAAGAAGATAAGTGTTCTTGGACTGAATTGAGACAACCAAGTCTAAAACAGTGATTCAAACTTTCTTCCTTAACTGCTGACTAATTCTCAAACTAACTGGACATGCTAATTTCCACTTCATGTTCTAGATAGTCTGGATTTCTCTACACTGTATAGAAAATGTAAGCACAAAAATAAACTGCATTCTTCTCAAGAGAGCCCACATCATTTTGTTGTTTGCTTTTTTTTTTCCTAAAAAGTCACTTGTGATAATATGTTATTTTCTTGTGCTGTACGTACACATTTTTTATGGACAGATTCTATTTTTGCTAAGATTGAGTTTAGTTTCTTTGTTGAAATAAAAAATGGGTTTTTTTGTCTTTGTGTTCTGATTTTGTATTGTCTATTTATGGTTCTACCTTTATCAGTTAGTTTTGTATCTCACTATTATTTAGATCCAGACATAGGTGGGATTACTAAAACACTTACCTAACACTCCTTTGTTATTTTTGAAACAGATTATGGGAACACAAAACTGTATATTCTTCTTGACATCCTTTGAATAAATTGTGAAACAAAGGTCTGGATCCTTATAAGACTGGGTGTGTTCAAGTCCTTCCAGGAAAAAGAGACTCCCTGGTGTCTTTCAGCAATTTAATAACATGCAACCTAGTTTATTGACATAACTATGACATGAAGTTGGTATATTCTGTGTTAGAGTGAGTGTCTCATCGTTTGATCTAACTGGCAGTAGTGTGAGGTTTAATGCTTGTAGAAAGATAGATATTTTCAAATGCAAGGCTAAAGTGTTGCATACGGTTACACGTGCAAGGAAATTTCTGAAGAATTTGGTTTGGAACTATGCTGTAGAACACGAAGGTTCTTTATGTTGTAATAGGGGCTTATTCATACAGAAAAAAAACATTCTGCTTGCACAAGCGTTTTATTTAAAACACTTGAAAAATTCTTTTGGATTTTTAAATGATGTAACCAGTAAGAAAATGGATTTTTCACTTGAAATGCATCTTTGATCCTCCAACATCTGGAGGTACCTAGACACCTTTATTTCTACTTTACAAACCAGTGAAGAAGCACTGTCATATAGCCAAGTGTTAGAGAATCTGCCCAGTAGACACAAATAGAAAAGTATCTGAATAGATTTCTATAATCTGTTAGGAAACAGTTTGCACCACTACTAACAACTGAATAATATTTTTAATAAATTTTAAAGCTGCTTTTTTATGGTTTTAGTGGCTATCAACCCAATAAGAGAAGAAATGGTTTAGACTATGGTGGATGCTAGAAATGAAAGTCTGAAATTAGCACTTTATTGTTTCTTGGCTGCTAGGAATCTTACTGAGTAGTAAGCATGTCTGTGTCAGCCTATAACCTGCTGATCAAATTTGTTTCTGAAAAGTGGCTATGTTTTCCTTATGCTGAGGAGAATTCTGAAGGAGTTTCTACCTTTTAATTAAAGTTGTAATCATCTGAATAAAGAATTTTAAGTCATTTGTAGATATGTTCAATGGACGTGCATTGTCTACTAATCTGCTACCAAAAAAAAAAAAAAAAAAAAAAAAAAAAAAGTAGGTCCTACTGAAGTCAAGGATTTAATTTGGGGTTTTTTTATTATTTTTAAAGTTCCAAGCTTAGAAATGCTTTGTGTTAAGTGTACTTAAAAGGTTTGCCAGACTGCTTGTCCTGGGGATTTAGGGGTGCCTATTGAACATCCTGAGCAGGCTTAGTGTGGAAAGCTAACACCAAGGTTCCCAGTGTAAGCAAGATGCAATGTCTTACCTAGATGCAATACCAGAACTTGGAAGGACTGATGGAGCTCTGGTAAATGGTAAGGTAACGTTCTTATGAATGGCAAAGCTCTAAAAGGGTTGGGTGGGTTTTTTTTCAGGTTCGTATTTTAGGTTTTGATAGCTATGTTGTAGATGTATAAATGTCTCACTTTGGATTTAGTTATTAATCCATTTAGTTATTCAGGCATTTAAGTCTAGTCAGATATTCCACAAAGGCACTGAGATTTTGATTGCATTAGGATTTGAGATTTAGTGCAGTGTCATTGCTGTTGGCAAGCTTGCATTTTTGTAAAACCAGAATAAGCTGGTGCATCAATTTCATCCTTTTTTTGTGTGTGTTGGTATGCCTTGCGCTGTGTCCTTGGTTCCACAGGACCTCTAACACATCATGAGGTACCTTTTGCTGCAGTGGCTTTTAATAGGCTAATCCCAGCACGCTGAAAATTCCTTCTGACAGGTGGTTGTCCCTGAGCTGACAAGAAAACATTTTGGTGTCATTACCAAAAAGTGGTGCAATGTTTCCATTGTAAATTAATGAAAAATAGGAGTAAAAGAATTCCATGTTAATACCTTAAATATTTTACTGCAAATAATAAGGGGAAATAAATGTAAAAGACAAGTTGAATGTATATTAATGCTAGCTTTTAATTCACAAAGGAAAGTTCCTAGTTCTGCTTTGTTCCAAGGTCTCAAAGCAGTGGCAATTATTTCAATTCTTTTATTCAGGTTTCTTTTTTTTCCCCTCAAGGTCAAATAGTAGTATCCATATTGCACACTTCTAAAGTTCCTGTTAAGATTTTCCAAATATCCAGTGAGTTTCTCTTGTCACAGTAGTTTAATATCTCCAGCCTTGCTTCAGTGTTCTAAACAATTGTTTTCCTTTAATCTTGAAATAGGCTGAAGTTCACTTAAGTAGCCCGTCACATCCATTTTATCCATGGGAATCTCTGACCAGAGGCAGAAAGCAGGAGCTTGGACTGCCTCTGAATTCACAAACAGGTTAGCCACTCGTCCTTCCTCCTGCTCTACCATGCTTTGTGCGTCCAGGATCCTCTGCGCCTGTGGAAGCTGTTAGCTGCCCAGGCAGGGTGTGTTTGTAGCCCTTTCCACCGATACAGCAGTGCTAAGGCATGGCAAAGCCTGAAGATGGATGGTGCCTCTCAGATGTTTTCGTTAAAACGTATCACCAGAAGCAAGAGCTTGACAGAGTGCAGCGCTTCATCCAACCTGCTGCTGTTGGACAGCCAGCAGTCATTTGGTTGTTCAGTGTGACCCTGTTTAGGTCAGAGGAGGAGAGTGCATGCTCCTGTTGTAATGCCTTTTAAAAAAGTTCCCTCATTATTTATTGAATTAACACAAGTAGTGTGATCTCACTACTTGATGTCACGGAATATTAAGATTCTCAGCTGCATGACTGATAATCAGTTTTGATTTTTATTTTCCAGTGTTGAAGGTAATGCTTCCGTCCCATGAATTCCTAAAGACTGTTCTCACCAATGTTTTCAGTTTTTGCCGTATCAATGTACTGCTGGTTTTGGCTTTAAGGCATCCTAATAACCAATGAAGAAGGGAAATGCAAAAAGACTAGCAAAAATATAACTGATCTTTATAAATATGATTACAGATTTTATATATCACTGCATGATACATATTGCATGCTGTATATGTATTTTATAATCATGTGTTATGTATTTATACATGCAGACTCTGTAGACTCGTATGTACATACACTATTACAGTATTGTATCTTTCACTTAAGGATAGACTGTGTTTTCCTCTGCAGTATGTATAGGCATAAGTACCCATATGTAGTTGAAAAAATGCATGTGCTATTTTTCATTGTTGAGTGGTGTTTGGTGTTTGATATATTTCAATGATTGCCTATTAAAATGACTTTTAAGTTTGCATTTGAAACAGCACACAGGCAAAAATCTGAAAACACTACCTTGAAAATATTTTTTGTTTAAAGTGGATGTTCTGTATATTCTCAGCTTCAGCAGCATAGTTTTCTGCAATTTATCACTGCTGCCATCAGATGAGTGGTTTCTCAGCCCACGTATCAGCTGATTGTACAATGAGCTCCTCATCCTCATTGAGAGCTTAATACAGTGAACTGCTTATTCAGTGAGGTCACTGGTCTCTGTAAGAGAAGTGGAATTTTCCTGCGTGTATTAAGTTCAAACAGTGTCTACTGAATAGTGTAATATTCTCAGCAAGCAGTGTTTGCTACATACGTAAAAGCATTTTGCTAATCTTGTGACAGTTACGTGATCTACAATTAATTAGCTACCTGTACTACTTTAGGAAAATGAATTGGATTAATTCTGTGTATTAAAATTGTGTGTGGGTAAAGGTTGTACTTCAGTTGTGTACTTGCGTATACCATAATTAAAATTCTCATGAGAGTGAAAATAACATATTGGAAAGAAACTGATCTTTCTGATATAATTGTTTCTGCCTAATTGCTTGTTAGGAACTTTAGATGATTGGCCTTGTTAATTTGGAACGTTTTCCCTAAAGTGCAGTAGGATATTTATTTGCATTTAAACTGGGACAGTTAGACAGCTCCTACTTGCACAAATCATTGTTATCTCTGTCACCTTTCAGGAGAGAGAATAGCAAACTGCTCATTACAGTGGAAGCACATTGGTTTCAGCTGGCTTGGGCAAAGTCAGATAGGCTAGCCATAGAGCTATGTAATGTTGGTCATGTAAAAGCCTTTAAGAAATCAGAAAATAAGTTTACGTTCTGAGACGAGTCTTCAGTTAAAAGAGGGAAGAAAGTAATGTCAGATGAAGGAAATAATTTGTCCCAGAGTAAAGGGCTGTTGAAGTAGTGAAGAAACCTTGTATGTGCCAGGAATTTTAAAACATATCTGATTTATTTATGAAAGTCAATTTGGGGACTTCTGAAACAATGTGATAGAATGATTATGGGTTTTAGTTTGTTTTTTTTCTGGCGTGACAGCAGTTTGAGTGCAGCATTGAGTTGTTGAGTTTGTATAAACAGGCTTTTAAAAGGGAAATAAAAATGCAGTTGCATTAAAATGTAAATGTGTTAATGCAAATACATCTTTTTCAGCCTTACAGTGTGTTTTAACTCATTTGTTCTCAGACTACAGTTAGTTCATCACTGACAAATGTATCAGAGAGGCACTACAAATATGGAATATATACACACACACATATATATATACAGGTTTTATATATATATGCTCTACACATAATCACCTTTAAACATACTAGAAACCAGCCCCATCTTTATTAACTCAGTAACCAGGAAGTGTAAGCAAAGAGCTTCAAGAGCAAGTAATACAAATGGTACAAATATATTTGGCTGATGCAAGAGATAATTTAAGGTCTGGCAGTGGGAAAATTGAAAACACTGCCTTGAACAAGTAGGAGAAGGAGCAGATTAAAACAAATTTTTTGATCTATTGGAAGCTTTTATTAAAAGTACATGAATTAAAAAATGTTAAAAGGAGTGAGTATAGTTAAATATCTCTTTTTTCCTGTGTCATTTAACAATTGGTACTTTGGTTAAAGGAAGTTAATGACAGAAACCCAAGAAACAAGACTGCACTGAATTTACTTTGCTTTAGCCCATAGGTCTTCAGAGCCTTTCTAGTTCAAAATCCAGAGTGGCAGAGGATAACCTGTGGTATCTTTACAGTATATGCTTGAAATATATTTGAGATTCTAACAGATCTTCAAGTGTCCAGATGCAGCTGTTTCAGGAAGACCATTTTTCTGAAAAAAGCTCTTGACATTGTGGGTTGGCAGGTAGCAAAACACCTGTAAATTAGAAAATCTGATGAGCATATCACAGCCAAATAACTACTGTGTCCTGCTTTGAAGAGGTGTTTTCATGGTCTTAGTATAAGTCACACTATCAGAAATGCTGCTCCACCACTTAAATGGTGCTGCTCCATCACATAGCAGTACAGGTCCTGTAGGATTTACACAAACTTGTCCTCGGTGTCTGTAAAAGAACGGTATTTGTAAAAGAATGATGAAGAGCGGAAGTTTTTTTTTTCAAAAAAATCTGAGTTTAAACTCCTGTGAACCCTTCCATCCTGAGATGCTGAAGATGGACAGCTGTTAGCTTTTATACGCTTGCTCAAGATGATTCTTTGACTCTAAGGAATCTTTTCAACCGCAGGACATCAAGTCAGATGTTTGTCCATTACAGTACACAGGGCATCCCTCCTGGGCTTCAGGAGGGCGTCTGAGAGCTCTGGTTAGCCAGGGAAAATTGGTAAGAGAAGTGAGGCAGGCCAAGGATTGTAAACCACTCTAGCATCTGAGCTGGCATCAAATAAGACTTTGGAAGAAGAAGCTTTACTTCTTAGGGTAAGTACAAGGGCAACTAAAACCTGATTATCTGTAGAGCAGTTTATAATGTGATTTTTGTCGTGAAAGCCATTGTTCTAAGGTTCACAGAACCTCGATTAGAAATGGTACAGGACAATGGCACAGCTGGGATGTAAGAATTAAGGAGTCTTCCAATTCTGGTCATAAAATATTTTCTTCCATTCCTCCAGGTTCCAAAGTGTAACATTTCTGTGTCTCTAACATACATTTTCTTGTAATCTTATATATATGGCTTTATGTTATAGGTCTAAAATGGCCTTGCTTCTATTTTAATCAAGAAAGGGCATGTGGTTATGTTTTAACGATACCAGCTAATATCAAAGTGTCATTTAGAATTAGTCCCCGCCTGTTGGCTGTATTTCTGTGCAACATAATAAAATCACTTCTTGATGCCTGTGTTTCCCCTCTGTCTGCATATTGTCAGCTGAAACGGCAAGGCCCTTCCGAGAAGGAAACTGTCTCCCAGTACTTCGTAAAATGGAGGCCTGGTCTCAGCTGGAGCCTCTTTGCATTACTCTTACACAAATAACACAGGAATAATTGAATCCCACCGATGACAAACCTAATAAGCCAGCAGCAGCTCCTTCAAACTCGGAAGATGCTGTTCTTGTATGTGGGGGATGATCACAAGTCATTGTGCTGATACAAGACAGACTTGGCTGCTTGTTAACACACTGAAGAGATGGGCAAAGACCTTGGGTGGGTCCTCTGAGTGGAGATGCCATTAGACTCTTCCACCTTGGCCTGTAGCATTTCTCTGTCTAACCTATAGGTGGGTTTCAGTTGAAATTTCTAGCTGGTTTCATGTCTGCCTGCTCCTCCATTTGAATTAATATCTGTAATAGAGTTAAAGAATATCTCTGCCAGTAATGTTTATACAGCAGACAGTATGCCAAAGGCTTGACAATATCATCAATAAATGTAAGTGTATGTATGATCTAAAAGATAATTCAGTTGTTCTTAGGGTGTATGGCCCCTGCTTACCATGTTTTCTTGCTTAACCCACAACTTAGCTAGAATATTTTTATCTTCTGCAAGTCAAGGTCTCTTTTGTGATGCTTATTAAATCCTAAACCAGTTCACAAATACTATGTAGTCACAGCACACTCTTCCAGCATTCTCCTCCTGTTCATGTTCTTTTACCCCTTCCAGCTTAATATTCCTCTAGGGGGAACTGAGTCTGAGTCCCTCTTGCAGTGGAGATTGTCCTTCCCTTTTCTGTAACACCACTCAGTGCAATGGACTCCCATTTTGCACAAGTGTAATTTAATACCTGCAATGCGAGTATGTGGATATTTTTTTCCACTTTTATCATTTCACTTTTCTCCTTCTCAGTTCTTTTTTTTTCTCCTGATACACTTTCCTCTTCTCCACTCTAAAGCCCCTTCTATTTTTCCTGATCAATAAATCCACATTTTACTGCCCATGTCGCTCCTTTCTCCTCTTCTTTTCTGCTACATAGCCTTAGATCTCACACTGCCATGTGCTAGCTACAGAGGTGGGGAGGGCGCATCCAGTTAGACTGGCTCAGGCTACCCTGTGACACTGTTTTCAGGAGTACTCTTATCCAGTTTCTTGCAGAGGTGATGCCCGCTCTTTTTGAACAACACAGTAGGGTTCTACTTTGTCATTACATTACATTACATACATTAAAGATCTTTACTGTATCCTTGTGAGGCAGGACCTGACATAATGAGACAAGAAAGGTGTCTGGGTCTGTGCTATGTGGGTCTCACTGGCATTGTTTTCCCTTTTACATGAGACCTCCAGCAAGTCATCAATGTATGTTTTCTCATTTGTAAAATGGAGTGATACATTTCTATTATCTAGTGGTTTGCCTTGTTTAGTACTTCAGAGCGCTTGGATTCAAGCTTTTACAGAGATAAAAAATACTGAAAAAAAATGTTACTGCAGTTTGGTCTATGGATTTTGGAAAGACATCAATGGATTTAGGAGGCTTTAGTGTATAAGCAAAAATCAGCATAGTCCACTGTGAAGGTTCCTGAGTGCATCCACACATGCTTACAGCCAGCAGGACAGCTTTTAGCTATAGACTATCCCTGAATGGATTTAGATGCCAGCCTACAGCTTTCTTTACCTCTAGCAGCCCAGGTAGAACCAAGGAGTCAACTACAGAGCTACTGTGAGCCCTCTGTGGTGCATTACAGCTCTGCCTCTTCTTTGGACCTTTCACGCAGGTCTCCCTGTGTGCAGTTCTTAGAATTAGCTGTAAGCAAATAAGGCAGTTCTGGGTTTGATAAACATTTAAAACTGTAGCTTCTGTCACCAGACAACATTGAATCCAGTCTTGCATCGAATCAATTAAAACAAAAATGTTCAAATTATCAGTTTGATGGAAATGGTGAAATCACACACAAGAGTTACGCCTCCTCATCGAGATGGTTGACACTAGCTGACAGACGGCAAAAAAAATGTGCCCCACCAAAACACTCCAAAAAATAGGTGCCCCAACAGTGTGGTAACAAAAAAGAGACAAGTTTCCCAAGGTATGTGTGATCAGTCTGATTGCAACTGGAGCTTTTGATGAGATCATTTCACATAAGGGGTGCATAAAGTGTAATTTTTATTCTTAAGGGTTTTTTTAATTTATTCTTAAGGTATTTTGAAATTTGCCAGACAGAACAAT